ACATATATATTATTATTTCCTTCAAAGTACACAGCTCTCAGAAAGATATGGTTTGTTTATTTTTTTCGATTAATGTGCATATTATTTGTGATCAAGCCCATAAACTAAACAAAAGTATATACATTCATCTAGATATATTGTATTTTCAGACATTTTAGTTTAATAGTTTAGAAGATATTTTAACCCAGATGAAGACTAAATAACTGATGACTGATAACTTCGGCAAATTTTAAAGACTCTCTGCAACAGCTGAAGGCGGGCGGCGTAAGTCAAACCTGAAGGGTTAAATCACACCTGCCTCAAGATGCTGTCTGTCAAGGTCGAATTAATTCAGCGTACTATATTCTAAACGTTTAGTTGTGTAACATAATTTAATAAAACTAATAATATAACTGAAACTGAGCTTTCTATGCAGGCGAGACCCTTATCGTGATTTGCAAAATTTAATCTACGAAACTCAATCACTTTGACGCCATTCGTTTCTTCGTCTACAGTGCAAACAAAGATAATTTAGCATTAAAATATCTCATCGATGGGTCATGGCATTAGTCAGATTGATTTGGGAATATCAATTTTCATGAAAATCCGGCTTTGGGTTAGCCGATAGCTTTTTTCACACATGTACGGACGGGCAGACGCCAGATGTACTGACGGCAATCGATTTTTCGGTGTCAAGAATGGGTACCGAACTTTTTGAAAGGAACAAGGATAATCCACGTTTTCGTTGCTAGGAATCGGCAATGAGTTTTGATGTTAAAAATTCACCATTTTTCCCTGGAGCATTACAATATGTTATCTATACTGCGTAAGCATTAGGCGTGAAAGTAAAATTACAGACTATTATTTAAGTCGTATTTATTTACTCAGCAATCAACATGCGTATATACGCACAAACACACAAATACATATACGAAAAACACCTGAATACCAGACTCACTTCGATATGGCATAAAACACCAGGGCAATATCCCCCTCGCTTGAGACCTTGAAACCATTTTCAACTTGCATCCATCCTCTTCGGGTCTCATGACAATTGTTTAATTTATTTTTTTTATTATTGTTTTTCCACTGCCCTTTACAAACGTGCCGCTTGCATGGCACTTAACGAAATTTGACTACGTTATAAAAATATTTAACAATATTGAATGTTTAACTAGGAAACTCTCTGGAATTCCAAGAAGTTCACTTTACAATAGTTTTGTAGTTCAGCAAGAGATTCTTTGAACATATATTTTTCAAAATTGGATTTTATGAGTTAATCCCTTCTGACAGCTAACAGCATCTAGCGATTTTAGACTGTTGGTAGAACTTTAAAAAGAAGGAAATACATTTCCTTTTGCTTCATTAAACGTCGAGAAAATTGAAATGTTCATCTACACTACCGAAATGAGTCTTTCATTTGAAGACTCTTGGTAGAATAAATACGAAACGTGTCTCTATACCAACTTTTACCGAGAAAAAAGGATAGTAGGTTAAACTTTCTTGCCTACGCAGTATAGTGAAGGTATGTGGAGCAAAAAAGGCGAATTTTTGATAGAAAATCTTAATGCCGGGCCCTGGTAACGAGTAAATATTTTTCTTGTATGTAGTAAATTGCTTTCTCTAGCATGTTGTGTAGTCAGAATCTACGTTTGGTGAATCCTAATACCCAAAAATCGACTGATGGCAAAATGTCTAACCGTCTATTTGTGAACAACGCGGATAAACCGTAAACAGCATTTCCGCCAAAATTGATGTTTCCCAATCTATCTAAAGTCATGGCCCTTTGAATTTTAAATGGATATTTTGGTTTGAGCACAAGCGCTTCGTTTGTTTAACTGGACTTTTTCAAGTTATATCTGAGTTGTTGCTAGGGTAGAAATTGCAATATTTTAATATTA